CACCGGCCAGGTCCCCCCACCACCACCGACGGAGGAACCTTTCAGATGAACACCACTGAAGGCATCGGGCGTCACACGCCCAACCCAGCACACCTTTATCGTGAGCCCTTGCAATAAAGCTGCCACGTTCCCTCTCCAGAAAGACAGGAGATGTTGCACCACACACGTATGACAGAACACTTTTGGAAAAGTCAGATGCCAACAGCAACTGCAAAATCCTGCCTCCTCCCAGCTGCAGTGCCGTGTCCTGTAGGGACAGACACAGGCCTATGGGGCCACCGGGGCTACCTGCTCGTCCGATAAAGCTGGGAGCCTCTCCAGACTCCCAAGCTAAATGTGCATCCCATAAACAGCAGGAACCCCTCCTGCCCCCACCACACAGACATATTAATGGGCTGGTTTTCCTGCTCTCCTCCCCTCCGCCGTCTCCTCCGGCCAGCTTCACCCACTGCTCACTGCCTAAGCCACCTCTCCTTCAAAGATTCGGAAAAACTCCTCAGCAGCTGCTGTCCCGGGCACAGAGCCTGGCAGAGGCTCTGCCACGTCACTCGCCCTGCACCATTAGTGGTAACGACGGAATTAATCGTGAGGCCAGCAAGACCAAACCAGTGGTGATAAAATGTCACCAGTCCTTAACTGAGGCATCTCGAGGTGGCCTCTGCGTTTCTGCCAGGCTTTTCCAAGGACAGTTTCTGTCGCCCCGTAAGCCAGCCTCCGGGACCACTTGTTTATCGCAATTTCTTTGGTTGCTACACGCAGCTCTGTGATGTACAACCAACGCGCCCTGCCCTGTCTGCAGAACCTCCGCCCGGATACACTGCTTGGCATCGGTGTGCCAAACAAACATCCCGTGCGGTGCTGCTGTGAGTGTCAGCACTCGAGCATCACGCAGTATTTTACAGCACACCACAGCACCCTGTCCTGGACGTTCTGGAGAAACTCCTCTGCAGACAAGGCCAGGAACGATCTGCTCTGGGAGGAGCATCTGGGCAGAGAGGAGGTGCCCATGAAGGTCCCTGGTGACGCACCGAGGACCTTACAGAGAACACCTCGGGGCAGGGGGGGCACCTTATGCAATCACAGGGCCTTGCACACCCCCTGCACACCAACGCTTGGCCTCTCCGTTGAAATGCTCCTGCCAACCCTTCCTCAGAAGCATCACCCACTGCCCTGGAAGACACGGTGACACCGTCCATTGCCCCGATGGCCAGGAGCCAACCAACTCGCCGTCGCGCAGGAGGAGGGACACCCACTGCCCAGCTGACCCAAACCACCCCCCGGGCAGGAGAGCCAGAACCACCCTCAGGCTTTCCAGCTGAAGTCCAAGTCTGCAGCCTGCGGCTGCGGGGCAACGATGGGGAGCAGCATTGCCACCGGCACGTCAGCAGCAGGTTCTGGCGGGCCGTGGGAGAAGGCTGCCTTGCACCAGCTGCCCTCTCCAATGCTCCGGGGCAGAGGCAGGAGAGGAATGCTCAGCCTGGATGTGCTGCAGAGGCGACGCCAGAGAAGCCACTCACAGCACGGGCAGCACCACTGCTGTCCCTCCTGTGCCCATCCACCACCGGCCTGGGTCGCTCTGCCCCTCCAGGAACGATGCCAGGACAACCGCTGCCGAGGGGCTCTCCGCAATCTGCTCTCTAACCTTTGCCTGGTGTAGAAAAATTCTTAAAATGAAGCCCGAGAGCTGAGGCATCCACACCTCGACGGCCTCCTGCTGTTGTCCGGCACGTTCAGTACCAGCCTCCCACCTCCCTGGGAGCTCTGCGGTGAGGGAACGATGGTCCCCCCCCCAACCAACCTCTCCGGTGGGCTCACCCCGGAGCAGTTCTGAAACCGTGGTCAGTGTCTGCCGGGCACCGGACGTGCCACACAATGCCCAGCCTGCGGCACCCCTCCTGCCTGTGCTAGGGCCAACTCCTCGCGGTATCTGAAGCCACAGGGATGTCCCACCTTCAGACAGAAGCAGGAGCTGTGACAACACCTGGTGCTAGAAGGAACTCGGAAAGGATGAGAGAAGCGCAGTTCCCACACGGCGAACGGCATTTCCAGGGGCACTTCTGCCAGGTCCCACGTGAGAAACCAGCGGGGAGAAAGTCACCCCTTTTCTGCACGTCGTGCGTCCTCTTCACCGCGACCCTCAAAGCCTCACTGCCCCGACAAAGCCTTCCCCGCCCCACGGATCCAGCACCACGACAGTGCCACACACCGCAACGTACGGTCCAGATCCCTGCTTGGCACAACCACAAACTTCCCTTCAGACCAAACACGCCGGAGCTGCTCCAGGGGTGCAGAAGGGTCCCCGCCCCACCTGCCTGGGCAGAAAGGAGGGCACCACAGCAGCTGGAGCCACCCAGCTCTTGGAGAACCTCTGAGCAGCAGGTGGACGTGAAGATCCGAGGTTCTCCTCAGAGCTTCGCCCACGCTCAGCAGCACCACGTGCAGACCGAGGGGCGTTTGCAGAGACGGCGGCTCGGGGAGGAAGAGTGCTGCCGCAGCCTTCGGCTGAACACCAGGAGTAGGACGGTCGCTCCCTCCCGCTGTCACGCCAGACCAGCACGACGATAACGTGCAGTCCAAAAGGGTCAGCGGCTGCAGTTGTGACAGCGCCACTGGAGGGCTCCCTGGGATCGGGGCTGCAGCACACGCTCCGCACAGCAAGGACAAGCAAGCCAACCCGTGCGAGGAACACAGGGACCACGGCTCAGTGAAGTCTTCCTGTTTCTGCTGCGGAAAACGGACACCTTCCCCTGCCTGCGCAGGGCCAGCCACAACCCGGGCTGAGCGACTTGTGCTGGAGAAACCACGCGAGGATGAGTCTGGCTGGTAACGGCATGGACCCACCAGCGCTCCTTGGGAAAAGCCGCTCATCCGCTCTGAAAACACCTCATCCCGTCAGCTCCGCTTCATCTGGAACCAGATCCTGGGAGTCCCGGAGCAGCTCTCAGATGTCTGGGGCCGACGTGTTGGGCTCAGGTCTCCTCAGCTCCTCACCAGCACCTCCTGCCCGTTCCGTCCCTCCCACAGCTGTGCTCGGGAGCGTCCGGGCGGCCCCGCAGCTGAGCGGGCAGTGAGAGCACTGAGCACCTGAGATTCACTCCACATCCATGAGATGGTGGGTCCCTCTGCTCCATTTGCAACTCCCGGTTACCACACTGCTCTCTCCAGAGCTCTGAGCAGCGCGCTCAGCAAAGGCAGCGGTGTTGGCAAAGCCCCGGAGCCAGCCTGCCGCAGGAAACACGGCGCTGCGCAGGGAGCCGCAGCCACGCGGGCAGCTCCTGCCCACGCGGGCTCACGGGCCGGCAGGATCTCTCGGTTTTCCAGGCGG